GGTGACGTAATGAATATGAGACCTGTTAAATATGATTTAAATGAGTTTGTGTGGTGTATGGGACATATTATATACCAAATTGAAGATATACGAGTCTAGTTTCCAACGTATTAAACTGTTCGTCGATACGATATCGGAGTAGAGAGATATCTGCATTTTTGCGAGACCGCGCAAGCAGCTCGGTTGGAACCCACTTGAGATGGCCACCGACCTTACGTCTTTTAAAAGATGTTTAAGCCTCATTTCGGGTCATTTCTCACCCAAATTTCGTCCAAAAGCTCTCCAAAACCCTCCATAACATATCCCAAGATCCCAAGAACCAAACTCAAGGGAAATCAACTCAAATCATCATCAAAGGTGTTAAAGACTACAAGTGAATGCTTCTATGATGTTGTGGTGTGATTGAGGGCTATTGTGAGCTAAGTTTAGATAGGGTTTCGAGTTGTAGATTTTGTTCAAGGTATGTATAACATCTTCTTAATTGTGCCTAAGGTTAATCTTATGTTGGTTGTGTTGCTTGAGTGAAACATCATAAGATGGCACTTGAAAGAACATGAGATATGGTTGTCTTTTTGGTTGTACAGTTTTGTGACTAAATATATGGTTTGTGGTGGCTGGAAATTGTGATAAATAATTTGATAATGTTGTGGCTACTGTTGTTAAGATTTTCTAGGTGTTAATTAAGTTGATTGAAGAAGAAAAGATGAAAAACAAGTGATTGGCGATAAAAATTAAGGTGCTAGACGTATGAGGCTGTTTTGGAAGGCATTTTGTGGATGTTTTGAACTAGAAATAATATAGTACATATAAGTAAGATGTTCTAAAGGTTGTAAACTAATTTATGGAATAAGAGTTGGATTTAATTTATATCTTGTTATGAGTAAAAACGAGCTTGCCCCTCAATATAATTGTTAAGATAATCGGAGAAACTCATATTAGATTATATTGTTGTTATTGATATTGTTGGTTATAGTTATTGTTGTTGGGATGTTGATGACCCTTATTGGTCTTTGGGATGTATTAAAAATAGAGGATTTGCTTCCCGATTTTTCTTAAGCCATACGACTAGCCAAATACGATGGTACGACATTATATGTTAACGGCAATATCATTTCACTTGTTGTAGATGAAAGAAGTTGTGTTGAGCTTGGTTGAATAATAAGGAAGATATCATACATATATGTTAAGGCTATCCCTTCTTTCCTTTTGACATGATCCATATGATACAACGAAACGAGCAAGCACGCCACTTTCACAAATGATTCTATTCCTAGAAATATTAAGGTTACCTATGTTCTTGATTCCCCATATGTCCTACTATCATATCGTCTGTTCATGGGTCTTATGACATTTCGAGAGATCTTATTGATTTATTTCATTATGCACTGCATTCATTTATACATGTATATTGACCCATGACCAGATGGCGTTATATACGCATCTAGTATATATATATATATATATGGGATATGAGGGAAAGCTTATGGCATTATATACGCACCACCACCTGATCAGCTGGTATACGGTTATGATTTCGCCCACAGAGGTTGTGATGATATGATGGGATTCTCTCATAGACTTGATGATGTTATGTACGTATATAACTATGCATGATATGACATTTATATACATACGCATGACATTATAAATATTTTTATGATTCACAAAGCTATTCAGACTTACAGGTTGAGTTCTTTACTCCATGTTTCTTTCATGCCTTTTATATATTAATTTTTATGCCTTACATGCTTGGTACATTATTCTTACTGATGCCCCTATTGCCTGGGGGCCTGCGTTTCATGCCCGCACATACAGGTAGACAGGTTGACGGGCCCCATTCTTAGGATCCTAGCTCAACGAGAGTTGGTGTGCTCCATTTGATCCGGAGCTGCTATTGGGTTTTGGTACGATACTTTTGTATACATATAAGGGTATGACGGGGCCCAGTCATGTTCTTTATACAGTTTTATACTCTATTAGAGGTCTGTATACAGTCATGTATAGTTAGATAATATGTGGCCTTGTTGACTCGCCCTACTGTATTCCGCGTGTATATGTATATATGTCTTTTAAGTATGTCTCCTCACGTATGTTATTCACACGATTCAGCAGTTTAGAGGCAGATGTTATGCATGACCTACAGTTATTTCATGTTTATATCTTAGATGTATTCTTAGGGGTATTCGGTAGGTAAACTCGGACACTCGTCACAACCCATCGGTTTGGGTCATGACACCACATGGTAGCCTGGGTATCCAAAAAGCTGAGCTTAAAAATAGGGCATGCCACTCAGGCCTGGCCAGAAGGCTCTTTCACAAACCTGACTCTTTGTGAGCTAGTACTCTGATTGCAAAATATTGTGTTCAGAGGGGGAATATGAGAAAACCCAATTCTAGAACAGGGCAATGCATCCTAGAAGGTTGGAAAATATGCAACAAAGCTTCTAGGTGGGTGGTTAATAATGGAAATAGGGTGGGCTTTCTTACTGACTCTTGGATCCCTAACATATGGCCTATTGACTCCATCATTAGTGGCCCCAAACAGCTGGGAGAGCAAAACTTAAAAGTTTCATCTATGTTCATGAATGAAAATTGGAGCTTCAACTCCATCTCTTTTCCCTTCCCTGGCCAATTGGCTATAACTTTCACTGATTCTATCCCCTACTTATCCATATGAAAGGGGATAAGCTCTTCTGGGGAGCTACCAGCAATGGGCTTTTCTCCTCTAAATCTGCTTATGAAGTGCTTAACCCTTAGTGGATTGTTCACTCTGAGAATACTCCCTTTTTCAGCTGGATTTGGAAGTTGGAAACTCCAAATAAATTAGATACTTCATATGGCTCCTTATGCACAACAGACTACCCACCAATAAGTATCTTCGTAGCATTGGGATTCAAGTCAATCCTACATGTCCGGTGTGCAACTCCATGGAGGAAACCATTGATCATATCTTTTTTCTTTGCCACAAGGCATCATCCTTCTGGAATACTATATGCACATTTGCTAATGACCAGTCCATGCACCTTCAGTTCACTCTTGGGACCCGTAATACTACTTGGAACAAACTAAAAGCCAAAGACTTTAATGATCTTCTTAAATGGCACTTCCTGCTGCCTTTCTGCTTTTGGAATATTTGGCTAACTAGGAGCAACATCCTTTTCAATAAGAGGAACGATCAAGTCCAAGCAAAGTTAATGATTGCTCAGGCTACTGAATATCACCTGCTAGCAAGGACTAAGCCTCAAAGGCAATGGATAACAATCAATGTTAAATGGGAACCACCTGATAGAGGGTTCTTTAAGCTTAACACTGATGGTTCCTCCATTGGTAACCCTAGGGTAGGAGGAGCAGGGGGAGTTATTAGGAACGACTCCGGGAACTAGGTTTCAGGATATATGAGAGGTTATCCATCTATAACTAACAATCCAGCTGAGTAACTAGCAATGCTAGAAGGGCTTAAGCTGGCAAAGGAGCATAATCTATCCCCTCTTGTGATCAACACTGACTCAAAAGAGATCATTAGAATGTTGGGAATGGGTAATATCCTTTATAACAATTTTATTTTTGAATGTAGGTCATTGATGACTCGACTGGGGAACCCAGCAATCATTCATAGCTTCAGATAACAGAACAAGGTGGCGGACCTACTGGCTAAGGAGGGAGCAAGGAAGAGACTGTTCAACACCACTAGAATTTTGGAAGTTCCTCCGGTGTTTGCCAATGAAACACTCTGGGTAGACATCCTAGGAACTTCTTTTGTTAGAAAAAATCTGGTTTGTAATATAACTAATGTTGTCTCAAACAATTATGTCCAACTGGACAGCTCCAATGTGGCGACATCCATGTAATTATCTTTGTTAAATAAGTATCTGGTATACCAAAAAAAAAAAAAAGAACAAGAGAATTCATAGAGATTGTAACACTCATATTGTTTGAAATAAAATATTATGATTGTTACAATATTTTTTTGGTCTCGATTATTTTCTTAATGCAAATTTATTGTCTACAGCAGGATTCCAGTTTACGTCCTTTTCCCAAAAACATTCACTTCATGGTAACAAAAAGTGAAAAAGAAATCATACTTAAAGTTGAACTTTAATTTACTGGTAGAGGTAGGGAATTAGGAATAACTCTATAGGGCAAAGTGTATAAATAGCCCTTTTCAGGAACCCCATTTAAAGAATAGGTCGGCAATTAGTGTTAACTCGATAGTGCAAAGCGCCCAAATAGACCTTTTTAGGACCCCTATTTAAGGAATAGTCAAAATTTACACCAAAAAAAAGGGTTTAGTCATCTCAGAAACAACATAAGACATGGGTTTGAAGTTTCAAAATTTAGATCGACTGTCTAAAATTGAGCAATGTCAAATCCTAACTACAAATAACGAGTATGAAGTTCGAAAGGAGCTCAAATTCAAACTTGAGTTCTGAAGTTAGGCTTTGGTAGAACCCAACTTAATACTCGTTGGACTGAATTTGAACTTTGACTTTTCCAAATTCAGAGCAATGAGAATAAGAAAACAACTGTAATAACAGGTTTAGTCTGAAGTTTACCAAAATTAGCTGCAAATAATATTTTAAATATTTGATATGTATTAAATAGAGGTGCTACAAGCAGCTACTTGGTGTTAGTTCTATAATCCTCTAGGGCAGTCCGGTGCACTAAGCTCTCGCTATACCCTCCAGGAAAGGGATGGACTACAATGATCTATTATACGCAACCTTACCCTACATATTTATGCAATAGGCTATTTTCACGGCTCGAATCAGTGATCTCCTGGTTACATGACAACAAATTTACCAGTTACGCCAAGGCTCCCCTTCCATTTCTATAACCCTCTGTCAATACGAAAGGTGTTTGGGTTGACTCGATAGAAGGCCCAATTAGATTCAAATTGCGGGCCCAAACTTGTCTGGCGGATTGGATCAATAATAACTGTATGGGCTAATTCTACAAACCCAAATTTGAATAGCGTTTCGGCCCATTAATTTGCGTAAGAATCTCGTCTTCGGTCAGGTTGTCGCATTTCTCCCTCCACGGCGAACTCTCTAGAATCTCATTCTCCCGTCGGCGAACTCGTTCCGATCTCTTTCTCCGGCAAATTCCACTCGTAAGAAACTCTCCAATCTGTATTTTTCTCATAGTATTTTCTTTTTGTACAATTTAAACTGATTTTATAATCAAATTTTCTTCCCTTGTTGTTTTAAATTTTAAGCTGGCATTACTTGCTGATTGCTTGTATGAAAAATAAGTGTATTAATTAATGCCATAAAAAGGTGGAACCTTTATCATTGTTTTATAGGTCTTGCAGCACTTTAGTGGAACTTCGTGACTATCAAGTCATTTTTCTGTTCCTGCTAATTATTTTAAAATTCCAGGTTTCAATATTTTTTTCTCACGGGCCATAAGATCAAGGTTAGTTTGTTAGAGTACTTGATAATCAATATGTTTAATTAAAAGTAGTAACTAATAAGTAGCAATTATTAGTTTTTTTTTTCCTTAGAAGGAGCAAATATTATTAGTTCTTAAAGGGTGCACTGTATACTACATCCAGGAGTCTGCTATTCTTGTTTGATTATGTAAATTGATTCTGGATTGCAAAATGACCCCAGAGATGATGTAGTGAACTAGTTATAAGAGATATGGAAGAAGAAGTGGGAGTGCGATAACTTCAGCTGATTGATTAAATTGTATGCCTTTTGTATTTACCATCAAATATACTTAGCTTATTGGTCTATAATCTCAGCGGAAGCTAAAAATTCTGTGTAAACGTTGATGGGAAGAATTATCCGGTACTTGTGTTGGTGGGAGGTAGCAGGTACTCAGTGGAATAGTCGAGATGGGTGCAAGTTGGCCTGATACCACCGTCAAAAAACAAAAAAAAAGAATCATGTTGGTGTAATGAACATGCTTGTAGCACATTGGATATCTTGCTTCTTTTGCATATCCATGTTACAACTTGCAATACATGGTGCTTTCTCAAACTGATTGTTTATTCTGATACTTGAAGCTAATTCTAATATTAAAACCATAAATCAAGCTTTCCCTGTCAATTCACTGATGAAGGACAAGCTTGGCGCTGACGGTTTTGCCAGAAATAAAAAACAAACAGAAGGAATTTGATGTTTTAGAGGTTTGAAGAGATGTGAATAGGTTTCTGTTTTTCATGTTTAAATTAGTCTCTGAAATGGGTAAATGTTGTCCTTTGATTATGCTGTATGGTGCCCGACTTGTTTGAGGATCCTTGTGGGATTTGAGGTCTGCAAACAGGTAATAAGTTAACATAAGAAGACAGGAAAAGGATAAAGTCTGAGTATTGCACTCGGGGTTCTTTAGCTTTTAGTTGTATCATCCATCTTCTCTTGTACTTGTGCATTTTAGAGACTCACGCAAGTCAAATATGGAGTTCAAACTCAATTTCATTATTTGACCTTTTTCTGAGTTGTCAGCTCAATCCACCTCTTTCACAAATGTAAACCTTGAAGCACCAGTTAGGTAGTTATTCTTGTTGTTGATGACTTTATGGTCGACTGCCTAGTAACCCTGCGGATAAAAAACTGAAATAATACATTATTCTGCGTTACTCGCAAAAGCAGGGGTGGAGGGGTTATTGATTTTCTTATCCTGGTGAATTGTCACCTATTATACCTAGATAGGAGCAGGGAGAAATTACCTCGTATTTTCCATCTAATCTTAATAGATTGCAATTATTGATTTTACTTCCTGACTTGGATCTAGTTAGTTGGTTAACTTCAACAGGTAAATTTTGTTTCCTTTGTTGCTGAGACAGAGTTTGGTTTCATCTCAAACTCTAGTTAGTTGTGAGACAGAGTTTGGTTTCATCCCTAAGCAAATGGAGGAGATGAGCGGACTGTCTTGGCCTCTTATTTTGGTTACTCTTTGTCATAGACGTAATGTTAGACTTGTGATTGGTGGGCTCTTAGTCTTCCCAACAAGGTGTTTTGGATTAAAAAAGTACATATTATCATTGGATGTGTTTAATGAATTGAAACCACCTAGGCTTGAAGAGTTTCAAAATCACTTTTAGTCAAAGCAAGAGATTGAGCGTTTGAGACAATTTTTGGAATTGAAACCTTAGGCACTAAAATCTTTCATGATTGACTTATTGCGAAAGAGTGTGGGCTCCCAATAGCTTTTACCATGAGAAAAGCTCTTACTATTGCCATGAGGGTTTTATTATAATCAAAGCATAAAATTTACTTCACAAAGTAAGTTTAATTGTGCTGTGAGTCCGTGACAGTCCATGGGAAGCAACGTTCTAATTTATATCACTCTTGTCAAACTAAATTAACTTGCAGAGATATTGGACACCTTACTTCTCATTGGGGGGAAACCTTGCCTTGAAACATAGATCACTAGAGCATAATTACCGTCATCAGAAATGCGCTAAAAAATATAGGTATTAAAAAGTCAAGCATCCATGGGAAAGAGGGAGAATAGTTGCATTAGTTGTGCCTTTGTGGTCCCAAAAAGTCAATAGTAGTAGCTAATAGCAGAATCAGGTCACCAAGGTTCAAAGCATAATTTCCCAAACTCTGTGTCAAGAACATATGTTGCTTTTCTTCCAAATTTATTTGTTTGATAAAACTGTTACAGAAAGTACTCGAGTAAAAGTTTTATTTCCAACTTCGTAGAGTAGGAAAACATAGTAAAAGTATCAATATTTCTCCTTCTTGGAACTATCAACTTTTAAGCTTCCCCTCAAATTGCTGCCTCTATGAAGTTTGAATATGCTACTTATATATAAAAGTTATTATTTGATTGTGCTACCATGAGTGAAAAGACTAGGACGAGGGAGCACTGGTCATGCAACCTGCAGCTTATAAAAATATTCACTTGCACCGTGTATTTTTTTTCGCAAGGCTCTTTTTTCCTTGTATTCTGTTAGTAACTTTTACTTGTTTTGTCTAATATGTATGTATGGTGATAGTTATAACTTATAACTGGTGACCCCTTTTATTGACCTCCTTGTGTGCATTTAGTTGTGGTGCCTTCATAGTAGAGAATCATATGGATGGCAAAAACAGCATAGAAATAGTTCTTCTCTGTTGCATCAAGAATGTTTTTCATCCTGCTTGTCTTAAACAGTGAAAAGTGTAACGGTATATGAGTTTTCTGCCTGTTGATTTTGCTGCTACTGGTATAAGTGCTGATTTGATTTAATCTAATACCATGTCCAACACCGTCCTCTTTATATTTACGCAGAACTGGGGAAGTATGGGCCGCAAAGCTGGGACTTTATATATTAATCCAAGGAACTTCGGAAGCCTCCAAAAACCTTGCGCAAAAGAAATGGTCACATTTCTTAATTGTTTAACTTTAAATCATAACAAGGATGAGAAGTGTGGCAGGCAAAAGTCACTTCTGAGTACTTGCATGGAAGCTCAGGTAATTGGATGCCTGTTCTTTAGTTGAATACTAAATATTGCTTTTTTTTTTCTTCTTTAATATTGTTCTTAGCAAAGCTAATGAGTAAGCTTCTTCCATGTATTTTCTATATTGTTATATAAAAATTGAGTTATTTTTTCATTAAAGCATGTGATAAATCCCTGTTATCTTGCCTTTCACATTGAGTTTTATTGTGATTCCTATTTCTGCAGAGTGGCAAAAACAGAAAGCCTTGGGGTAGCATCAATTATCACCTTCAGAGGCTTAGCAGGGGAAGGAAGTAACTTGAATCAAGTTACATCTGCATTTTTTAAACCGGGGCGGTTGTGACTTTTTGGCATGTTTTGAAATTAGTTACTGAGATGGTTCTTTCAATTTCTCAACGAACAACGTTTTCCTTAGACGGTCTGTAATTTCTATTGAATAGTATGAATTTAGACTCGAAAGGCAGTCGAGGAACATCTTTTACTGTCTGGTTCAGTATGTGGATTTTTAGCCTTTCTGTTGTAGCTAGAAAGTTGATAACCATCCCTAGGTTTCAGATTGTCTCCACCACAATATCTGTAGCTCTTATAGTAGTGCAATAACTTGTGTTGGCAGGAAGGGATTTGTTTAAATTGAGAGATATATTATCATTTACATACTGTTTGGTCTTGTTGCATTAGCAATGTAAGGGTGATATTCACACCATTAATGTTTGATATCCTTGGATAGTTTCTACAATCTGTGGAATCGGCAGGTCCTTATCGGCTGGTGAAAGACTTATTAATTTTTTCATTGAAGTAATTTTTTGCAAGGAAATGGGGCATGTCGTAAAACTAAAAAAAGTTGTGCAAAAACTCACAAAACCATGACTCTTTTCTTCTTAGTTGCTTTTTCAACCTACCTGAGGTAAGGAAATAAATCAACCATTTCACTTACTATGCCTTTCACCGGGTGAGCACCTTTAGTCCGGTCTTCCTTTTTAGCCTGTGATTAACTTGCAAAATATGCCTAATTTTTTCATTGAAGTATTTATATCACTCTTGTTAACTTGCAAAATATCCAATTATCCATCTTAGACAAATCTAATTCAAATCTTACAGAACAGAAAGCCCAAAACTTTGAGCCATCTTCACTATTACGTTGTGGGGTTGGAATCTGCGAGTGATCCAGAGAGACAAGATACTTCTCTCTTCAAGGTAGAAAACAAATAAGAACAAATATTTGAGACTAAAATTGCACCCAAAACTCAAAGTAAGAAGATAATAGCTAGAGTAATATACTTCCATAGAAAAGTAACTAATAACTAGACATTGACAACGCAAAATCGATGACACTATTTTATAGCCATCAAAGATGAAAATTTAACAGCATACTATTATCAACGAAACCAATATGATACCCAATTAACCATTGCAAAAATATAAAAAGTACCCAATATAAGTACTGTACTAAAATAGAAAACGAGCACTGATCACTCCACACACTTAGTCGACCTCCTCAATCTTGGGCCCTGCACTGCTACCACCAGCTGGAGGAGCATCATCATCCATAGGTGCACCGGCTTCACCACCAGCACCTTGGTACATCTTAGCAATGATGGGATTGCAGATGCTCTCGAGCTCCTTCATCTTATCTTCAAACTCATCAGCTTCAGCAAGCTGGTTGCTGTCAAGCCATGAAATTGCCTGGTCAATAGCATCCTCTATCTTTTTCTTGTCATCTGAGCTTAGCTTAGAACCAATCTTCTCGTCCTTTATGGTGTTCCTCATGTTGTAGGCATAGTTCTCCAGTGCGTTCTTGGCCTCTACCTTCTTCTTGTGTTCCTCATCTTCAGCCTTGTACTTCTCTGCTTCCTGGACCATCTTTTCAATTTCTTCCTTTGACAACCTACCCTTGTCATTGGTAATTGTGATCTTGTTCTTCTGTCCAGTGGTCTTGTCTTCAGCAGAGACGTTCAAGATACCATTGGCATCAATATCAAAGCAGACTGTGATCTGTGGCACACCCCTAGGTGCAGGAGGGATACCAGAAAGCTCAAATTTACCCAGCAAGTTGTTGTCTCTAGTTCTTGCTCTCTCACCCTCATACACCTGAATCAACACTCCAGGTTGGTTGTCAGAATATGTAGAGAACACCTGCTCTTTCTTGGTAGGAATAGTGGTATTCCTTGGAATCAAGACAGTCATCACTCCTCCAGCAGTTTCCAACCCAAGAGATAGAGGGGTGACATCCAGAAGCAACAAGTCTTGAACCTTCTCATTACCCTCTCCACTTAGAATGGCAGCTTGCACTGCAGCACCATAGGCAACAGCCTCATCTGGGTTGATGCTTTTGCAAAGCTCCTTACCATTAAAGAAGTCTTGCAACAGCTGTTGTACCTTGGGAATTCTAGTGGATCCACCAACAAGAACAACATCATGTACAGTGCTCTTGTCCATCTTGGCATCCCTCAAACATTTCTCAACGGGCTCCATACACTTCCTGAAAAGATCCATGTTCAACTCCTCAAATCTGGCACGAGTAATGGTGGAATAGAAGTCAACTCCCTCATACAAGGAATCAATTTCAATTGTTGTCTGGGCAGTGGAAGAAAGAGTTCTCTTCGCCCTCTCACATGCTGTTCTCAATCTTCTAAGGGCTCTTGGGTTACCGGTAATGTCCTTCTTGTGCTTTCTTTTGAACTCCTGGACAAAGTGGTTCACCATTCTGTTATCAAAATCTTCACCTCCAAGGTGAGTGTCTCCTGCTGTGGCTTTCACCTCAAAAATGCCTTCTTCAATAGTAAGGAGGGACACATCGAAAGTACCACCACCTAGATCAAAGATAAGAACGTTCTTCTCACCGACATTAGTGGCTTTCTTGTCAAGACCGTAAGCAATGGCAGCTGCTGTAGGCTCATTAATAATACGCATGACATTCAAGCCAGATATGACACCAGCATCCTTAGTAGCCTGACGTTGTGAGTCATTGAAGTATGCAGGTACAGTAACCACAGCATTTTTCACAGTTGATCCAAGGAAGGCCTCGGCAATTTCCTTCATCTTTATAAGCACCATGGAAGAGATTTCTTCAGCAGCAAACTGCTTCTCTTCACCCTTGTAGTTGACTACAATCATTGGCTTGTCACCAGGTCCGGAAATAACCTTGAAAGGCCACAATTTGATGTCACTCTGTACAGAGGCATCACTAAACCTCCTTCCAATAAGCCTCTTGGCATCTGCCATTGTAAAAACATAGTAAGCACTGATTCAATCACATGCAATCTTTACTTCAAAACTATTTATATCAAAAGTTAAATCCCCCCCCCCCCCCCCCCCCAAAACCACAGACTATGCATGAACGGCAACTATAGCACAAAACGTAACATAACAGCAAAAGACCATCAAATTCAGGATAACTTTAAGAACCAATGACAGCAGAGATATTCATGAATATTAAACCGGTAGCAGTTCAAAAAATCCATATTAATGGTCAGATATTTTGGAGGAACAACCTATATGGCCAGGGGAGGATGCAGGATGAAGGTGCCGTGACACCGAGGAAATTAGATTTGATTGCAATAAGTAGTAGGTATAAACTACCTAGCTTTAAAAATATAACAGGTTCAACGCTAAGAAACTTGAGGTTTAAACCATGAAGCTTAAATCCTCAATTTGCCTTTGTTAATATGCCTATGCCTAGCAAACATGAACATGAAATTACGAATAAACCATTGGCATATGAATTAAGACATGGAGCATCGACGGCATTCAACTAAACATGTAGATTAACTCTTATATAGATAGACGATAGTTGTGCCAGTAGTACTTCGCTACAACTGGCTCAAAGTCCTAAATCAACAATTGTTTAGAAATAATTCATAACAAACACAATTCTAGAAGAATTACCTTCATCAAACGAGATATAATACGTATTAACACTATTTACCAAAACAATTACTACATACATTAACACTACTATTAACAGAAACGAGGTCATTATGCAATAGCTCAACATTCAATCTAGATTTAACAATAGCTCTACTATTAATCAACAACAAAACAAGCTAAAATCACAAACCACAAAAAAATTAAGATCTAACAACAGATCAGAGCTTAAAACTTACCAAAAACAGTGTTAATAGGATTCATGGCGACTTGATTCTTAGCGGCATCACCAATGAGACGTTCAGAATCAGTAAATCCAACATAAGACGGCGTCGTCCTGTTCCCTTGATCATTAGCAATAATCTCAACACGATCATGTTGCCATACACCGACACAAGAGTAAGTTGTTCCGAGATCGATTCCGATCGCCGGACCTTCTCCTTTTCCGGCCATTACTTAGCTTTCTTCACTATACACCAACGCAAAAACGAGAAAGCAAAAAAGAGAATATGAAGACGGCGGAGAGAAAGCAAGGGAATAAAGAATTGTGTTAGGGTTTGATGAGAGGGGGAGGGGAAAGGAGAGGAGTATTTAATGGGCTGGGCTTATTGGTTCTAGAATGTTCTTTTGTAACTGGATCTGACCAATCACAATTCACAGGGGTATATTTGGAGTTTCCTATTTCTTGGGGGAATTGGTCTTTTTATATATGCAGTGTTATTGTTGGACAAAGAATCAACCACTCTTTTTATGGGCCCAAAACCGACTCCCATATACGCGCTCCCCACGAAGTTTACGTGAAATTCTTGTATGAATCATGTGGTTACAAGTGGATGAGTAAAATAGACCTCATATTCATCAACGTTCTAAAGTTCCAATATCTTAACTTCACGTTTTCTTTTTTTCAATTTCAAACTTTAGATATTATTCGTTTTAACTCTTTTCGCGTCCATAAAAAATAAATAAATACAAGGTACTCCCTCCGGTCAGTAATAAGTGATTTTATATCCTTTGGCATATCCCTTAAAAAAATATTAACTCGTGGAGAATTTTTTTTTGGGACTAAATTACCCTTAATTAAAATTTACATATTATTAACTTGACATATTGGAATATATAATAAGGGCAAATTTTAAAAAAATAAAGTTAATTCTTTTTTGATTATATAAAAGGACACTTATTTTGGACCAAAATAACCAAAAAATCACTTATTATGGATCAGATGGAATATTATTTACTAAGTTACCCACCTTAAATTTTGTTTGAAAATTGAGCGGTATTAAAAAGAACTAAGTAATATTTATTTATGCTAAAATGAAAAGAAGATTGTGAAAATTTTCTTCCGTGTATATAAATGAATATTCCTTTGTACGGTGTATGTATATATACAAACAAAAATGGAATCTACGCTATAATTGCATATGCCACTTGGCACTACTCTACTTGTTAGTGTGTAACAACTTGGATAATTACATAATAAAATAATGCTATTTACAGCTATATAAAAATGTTGTATCTTGAACCTTCTAGAAGTATAGGTCTTTAATAATCTTCAACTGAGTTTTTGACCTTCAAATGTTATAAGCCCAAAACATAACAGGCCCAGGAGTTATTTTCTGTCTGAGTCCAAGTCCAATACCAACTAAAACCATTTTCCTATTTTGACTAAAAGACACGTGTGGTCTTTCCTTCACAACCAAAGTGTAATATGTACAAGGGGTCTTTATTTGAAGTACTGTAGAAGGAAATCTGTTGACTAAATGAGTGGTTGTTAACACACAATCCCCCCAATAAAAAATAGGT